CGTCAAGCTAGACTTCCACTGGTTCAAGTTTATTTCCTTGCCAAAGACATACAGTAGTTGTGGAAAAATTGGGAGATTTGAGAATTTCATTTTAGTCGAGCTATAATCGAACTTCACCGCCCTTACGGGACCTCCATAGCACGAACACTTCTTCAAATCAGTCACAGACAGTGCTCTTGTTCTCCAAGATGTCAAACTACATACAGTCCCTATCCTATATTACAGACAACTTTTTAACGCGGACACTCCGTAATGTGACCGTTCTGAGGAGGTATCACTAAACTTGTTAACCAATACCGCATGTCGAATCTCACAGGGGGCCTCTATTAGACGGGGCGTTTATTAGAGAGGGACGCTGTTAAAATTGTATTAGCAAAAAAGACGCGTAATCATTCAATTCTTTCAGTTTCTTGCTTGATTAACAAGGCTCTGGCTGGGTATTTTATCTCACTCAATGCTAATTTCAAAGTAAGGATCGACTAACGATTGCCACACAATAACCTTGAGCGAGGATTTTGGCATCGATGTTGTAATCTGAAAGAGCGATATGGATCCCTAGACGGCCTTAACGTATCGATTGATGGCGTGGATGTTAAACTCTCTTGAAATTTTTTGCCGAAAGGATATTAGTTTTGTTGAGGTTGTTCGAGTAATGAGAATAAACGCCTCTTATCTATTAAACCCCCCCGTTTGGACTCTTAAAAACGCCCCGGGCGTTTATTAGGCCATTTACTGTACAGAGTGTAGGCAGAGTATCATAGAGTTTTGGAATTATTTTCCTAGGATTTTTCTGGTCTCCTGAGTTTTTCTCGAAGGTATGGTAATTCCTTTTTACTTATTTTCGTTTTTCAGTGTTCTTCTCAGTAAAACGAAAGTGAAATCAAAGAGACGAGATAGACCTGACCGAACATCTGAGCGTCCGAAAACGGGGTAAGCATAGAAATGTCATGTCAAGGGCGGTGAAAAACTAATCAATATTATCCATTTGATGAGTAGGTATAAAGATCGCTTATTTACCCGTGCCCTCCGGCTTTTCCTTTATTAAAAGTAACACCATGCATGTTTTTACAGTACATGTATAGATTTTTTTATTTAAACCCCTATCCTTTATTAGTAAAATCCAACTAGTGGTCTATTATCAATGCTACGTTCTGATTGGTTGAGCTACTACTAGGCTATATGTTATAGCCCACTAGTAGCGAAAAGCGCCGGCTTTGAAAACCAAAACAATGGCGGCATTTGACCAACTAGTTGGATTTTACTAAAAACAATTATTTCTCTCGCCCTCATGGCCTCCTGAGTCTATAGCCCATTCGGCTTTCGGCCTCATAGGTCATCGACTCAGAGCCCATTCGGGCTCGAGGAATAATTGTTAAATAGCCCCATTCTGAGGTGGCAAAATTAAATATGTTTCCGCTCTTAAATGATAATCACGGCAGATGACGAGGTACATCGTGTACAAAAGGTATAACTAAATCGAACTGTTACTTCCCCCTTTAAAATTATCAGTTACCTATATATGTTTGCAATCAGTGCTGAATTTTTCAATCATTTATCTTAGTGCATCACATCTTCGGTGCTGTCTTAGCTTTAATAAGCCCTTTTGGAACACGACCTGGAGAAATAATAACCTTATCGCCAGAAAGTCCCTGTTTGTTGTATAAACTATGACATGAGTTAAATGCCTTAACTCTACTTTCTTGTCAGGCGAAAGAGTCGAGGCCCTCAGTCATCAGGTCAGCAGCAAGGGGCATCAGAGTCTGCGCAGTATCCAACTGCCAGAGGTCTTCTGGCGCAACAGAAGAGAGTGTTACCACAATGATAGATGTGGATACTAAATGATAGATTCCACTTTATACTGAAATAATATTCTCTGTAAATGTATAATTGTACATAACCTTACTTGCAGAGTTTTTAATTTTGTTTTATCTTGAAATCAAACTTGTCTCCCTTCATTTTGTAAACCCTTGAGATAATTTACAAAGATTATTTTCTCCTCTGTGTTAATATCTTGCGTTAAGCGTGTGACCTTGCTACCCATAGAGAAGTACATCAGATAGTTTCACTGCTGACGCGTATAACCATGTCGGGTTAGCCTGTTCCAAGCGATCAGATTGTGGGGACGCGACGCAAAGAGATGTGAGCAGGAAAAACAGCGAGGGGCTTGGTACGCCCCGCTCTCCACTATATGAATGCCTGGAACAGGTTATGTCGAGTAGGCTTTCGTTCAGACGTAACGCGTGTAATTTGAACGTCCATCTGGTTCAAAAACCTGATACTCTAAACCATCCAGACGAATTCGTTTTCTAAAACCTCCATTTCGTGTCTTTACAGCGTTTTCGACCATCCAGGTCATCCGAATAGTATGATGAGTTCTCGAACTCCCTGGAAAATCTAAACATCTTTAAGGAATATATTTCTAAAGCCTTGGGAGGCTTCAATATTTGATTGGGGAGTTGACGCAACGACGACGGCGACGGCAACGAAAACGGCAAAAAAGCAATAGGTTTAATAACCAAAACAACAATTTTGTATGTGCATCAGGCGTTTTCCTTTGCTGCACGACTACAACGTGAAAATGCCTCATTTCACGTTTTAGAGGGGAAGTACACAAGCGACGGCAAAATTTCCTCTCGCTTTCTAACCTTGGATATGGTTCTTACGAATTCAACTTTAGGAGGATTCACCTACATTTGACGAAGTCAGTGACTTGGAGTAATCGTGATGAAGATTGAACGAACGCGCATTCACGTTTTCAGTAGCCTGGGAGCAAGCCCTCCTATTTGGGCGAGTGAAACGAGTCTCGCACGCGAACGAGCGGCGAAGCCCAAATAGGAGAGCTTGCGCGCAGGCTACGTTTTCAGCGACGTTTTCGCTGCCGTCGCCGTCCTCGGATCTTGAGGTCCCTAATGACTGTCGTACGGCGCGAAAAGCTTTCCCTTGCTGTGTAGATGTTGTAGTTAATTTTTTATCTCAATTAATTTGTATTTTTCCATTGTTTTTAGGTATGGTTATGTATGTTAATGAATTTAAAACAAAGAAAAAACAAAAATTAACTAAAATAAAAAATTAACTGCAACATAGATATATCTGGAGGTTGTCCGTGTGCGCTGCTTTCCTAACTATGTATGTCCGGCAAGTGTGACAAATTGAAAGTATGATATAATGCCATGAATATTTATTTGAAACCTAAAAAGAACATTAAAGAGTACTGATCAAGTCTGAACTGCGTATGTGACGTTTACTGTGAAGTGGGCCCAATCTAAATGTCATTTTCTTGTTTTGTGGAATCCTGCTTTTAAAATCGTTCAATCCCTAGAAGATATTGGATGAGAAAAATTAGCTATTTCTTGTTTGAGTTCACAAACTGTGTTCTCCCTTCTTATCATTCACTGCAGCTTAGAGATTAGAAGCAGAAACCAGGATCTCTTTCCTCTACCAACAGCTTGACGCTTTGCAGTGTATCTGGGTCAAAAAACTGCCATTCTTCTTTCTCCAACACATATAAATTGTTCGCCTCTCCTGAAAATTTTTCCGTGAAACGCCATTTTAAGTTAGGAGAGCCGTATTCTGGTCATTATTTGACCAAAAAGAACCAAAAAACTGTCCCATACATTGTTTACAAGTCGACCTAATGGCAGTAAAAAGCTGTTATTCCACGCGAGATAAAATTTTGCTTAAATACGATCAAGTCATCGTTTTTAAAAGGCGAATCTGAGGGGAACTGGAAAAGAAGACTCGGGAGCAGGGGTGCGAATCGTATTCATTAAAAACAGACAAGTGTGGACGAGGCCCCCGTTGTGCTCAAGGCAACGAGAATTCCTTTTTTGCCGTCACTACGAGCCTGCGAGGAATCGGCGGACCCGCTCGGATCGCTTCGCTTGCCGAATTTCTCCTCGCTCCACTTTAGCCTGTTCGAAGCGTTCAGATAGTATATATAACGCGGCCCAAAAGTTGACGAGGAAAACAACCGAGGGAAAACTACTCTCGTTTTTTCCCCTCGTTTTCGCGTCATCAGTATGGAATTTCTGCCCTCGTTTCTCAGACATCATTTCGCGGGGAAACCAGTGATAATATCGTGAAATGTCGGCTGTTTTCTCAGGCTAAAAAACGCGATTAATTTTGAAAGAATGCAAATCACGTGAGAGTTTCAGTTTTTTAAAACTTAATGGCCTTTGGACATATCCATTACCAACAAACACATAACTAATCTGTTTTATCAGTCAATTTTTATTTCACTATGATCTGGCTAATTGTTGTCGGTAAAGCGATAGGGTCTAAAACAGTTTTTGGTTTTACGCCACTTCAGCTAACTTCTGGCTACAGATTTATGACAAAAAAGGGCAGATGTATACTGGAAAAATTCTGTTGTTTTGTTTCTGTATTTTATACACTCAAACCAACGAGCTGTTAGCTCTGAATTTTAATGATATATTTCATGAAATAACAATGTTTTAATTTATTTCTTAAATGGTCATTTTTTTGTCATATTCATCAAGTGATTCGTCATAATTGTTTTACCCTGGGTACAAGAGCTATTTTTTGTTTCGTAATTCTTAATAGTTCGCGGCAAGTTTTTATCAAACCGTCCAGACAGTTTTTGTTTTTACTATCCTGGGTTCTTGTTGAAACGTTGAAAATTAACATGTTGAAACTAAATTAGTAAAATATTGGACTTCAAATAAACGAAATTAAGAAATAAAAGCTTGACAAAAATTGTATTACTCATTTTCAAAAAAATGATTAAACAAATTTGTTTCTTAAATGGCCATTTCTTTATCACATTCATCATTGTTCTTGTCCAAGCGTTGAAGAACTTCATCTGGTTGACCATCCCTTAGCTCTTTCCTTTTGCTCTTGCTTGGCTGAAACAGCATTCCAGCAAAGCTTCCTTTTCTCTTAAAGTATCGAGCAGCTGCCAAGATTGACAAAAACACCACAATCATCAAGACACTGATTACAAAAGCACAGATCATTAATGAGCATGGTCCCACAGTGTCCCCTATTGTGCTACCCACGGATAGTGGAATCAACATTGCACCGGTGCTTGATGTGACTAGAAAAAGAGATGCTGTCCTTCCTGATACAGTCACAAAATTTTCTGCCCAGCTTATGCCAGCTGGGAAGACTGAAGATGTTGAGATGCCAAAAATATCTGTTCCCACCCACAATTTTGTTGAGTCTGCAGCACTGCAATCACCATCTTTGATCTGTGAAATTAGTACAGCCGATCCCAACAGACAGCCAACCAAATCTAAACACAGCATCTTGGATGGTGGAAGGTATTTTGAGATGGGTACTGCTGCAAGCCGTGCCAACGCAAAGCTTCCCCAGAAGCCAGAATTTAAAAGTGCTGACCCGTCCTTGCTCATCTTTAAACTACTTGTGCTACCAAATACGAAAATATATCCTCCATAGGCTTCTTCTAAACCCGCATAAATCAAAAGGAACACAGAGAAAAGGGACAAAAAGGTGCATGACTCTGTACATCAAGCTACCCTGTTTGGTCTTTGGAGCATCCTCATCCTTGGTATCCGCTTGTCCTGTAAGCTGCATGATTTGATGAAAACAAAGACTAAGAATCCAATACCAGTGACTGCAAGAGGAAAAGCACAGATCCAGAAGGCCCATTTAACAGGAAAAGTATTTCCACTGGAATTGCTAAAGCACAAGTTATTTGAACTGTCTCCTATGCTATTATTACTTGCACATTGACTGCTGTTGGTATTGGCACAGTTATTTGTAGGGACAATGTTCTCTTGAAGGAATGGTTTAGCTATGAGTGGAGCTATGAAACTACCAAGTGCAAACAAAAAGTGAAGAGCTTGCATGTACGGTGGTGATTTCTCTCCCCAAACGTTTAGCAAAAGTACATTTCCACCTGCAATAAAAAAAAGAAAAATGATGTAGTGTATATTGAGAACATAAATAGTACAGAACAAGCATGGAACCATTGTCGACAGCTATTTGTTTCCAGTTAGACAAAATACGAGCAGCTTTCAACCACTTTTTTTGAGCAGCATGCAAACACCCAATTGTGCAGACCCTAATGTATGATACATTGATTATGCAATGTATATCTTGAAGTTATGAATATATGAAAATTATATTAATGTGAACTGCGGAGTGAAGAATTATGTGAAGGATATCGATTAAGATCATCGCAGTTACATACGCAACTTTTGCAGTTGCGAAAAGAAAGCCTTCAGGCTTTCTTTGGCAATGATCTTCCTTCACATAATGTATATCTGACAAATTAGGGATCTCATCTAAATCAACATTTAATTATCAAAGGTTTGAAAGCCCTGCACGTACTCAGTAATAAAATATTAGGTCGGTTGTACAAACATCTATTTTTAGCTTTGATAACCAACTTGAGCCATCAGCTACTAGTAAGGGAAAATTAAATTCTCCCAAGTCACGACCTTTATCCTCAGGAGATTAGATAGATAGATAGATAGATAGATAAATTGTTTATTAAAAAAAGAAACACCTTGCAGTCCGAAGACTGAATTACGCGTATAATATACAAGTTATAGTTAAAATGGATTTAAAAAACTATAATAATAAAAATGTACAAATCTAATAAAAACATTTCACTTAGGATAACCTTGTGTTAGGAAAATATACATACTTAAACAAATTTATTTACATTCTTAGGCTATGGCTAACAATAAAAGATTTTTTAAGACGATCAGTCTTGCACACTGGCACGTTAAACTTTTTATTGGTTCGCAGCTGCCTATGGTGCTCAGCTTTAGATGGGAGCAGACCTGCGAGCTTGTGATTAATGTAGAGCAGACAGAATGGCTAATAGACCTTTCCCGCATTCCAGTGAACAAAGGCACCAACTCGAGGCTTGGGTGGACAAAATACAGTGATTTGTATGAAACTGTCCACCCGAGCCTCGTCCTCATTTCTTTGTGTTTGTTCACTGGAGCGTAATGCGGGAAAGGTCTATTAGTCAGTGTGATGGAAAAAATAATCCAAATAGAACATAACAGGATTATAAAAACCCCAACTGGCAGGAGGTAACCATTTGGTTATTTACAAGCATGGCCGAGAATTTGAACTCAGGACAACCACGAACAAATCCAGCATTGGAGTGGCCAGAATGAGACTCAAATCCAGGAGCGCTGGATCTTGCGAGTCAGCCTGGGCCACTGACCAGTATTTTACTGAACATGGCACTGGTTAGTACTGTACAAAATGGTTTTTACTTATGAGCCCATGTACAAAAACCTAACCTGTTAATATATAGTACTTTATATCATGCTGCAGAAGTTGATTTTTGAGTCTGTGGATTAAAAATCTGATCGTGTCACCATTTCAATGAAAGCTATAAAAAAACTTAGATGTGCTAGCTTTCCTCTTGTGGTCTTCTTTGCCGAGAATTTTTCATTAGGTTACCCCACTGAGAGTGATCCCGTATGGGGTTATTGTAAGTTTAAACAGACTCTCCAAACATATAACCTAATAAAATTGATGGTAATTAATACAGCAAATAAAGTCAGCTCAAGTTTTGCTTACATGTATCAATCGCTCCAAGGCCTATCCCCAACAGTGCGTATACGATAAGTAAACCAATCAGAGATGTAGCATATGGCAAAACTATCATCATGGCAGTGCTCCAAACACAGGAAAGTGTCAAGACTCCATGGCCATTATACTTATCATACAACCAGCCGCCAATAATGCTTCCCACAAGGTAACCAACTGAGCGTGACATAAACACATATGACATATTCTCTAGTTTGGTACTTGTGTGGCAGGCCAATTCTATCAGGGCAGGTCCATAGATGGCCACACATTCACCCTGTAAATAAATAAATCAAAACAAATAAGATGCAGAGCTTTAAATATCACCTTAAATAACAGCTAAAGATCTTATCAAACTTGGGAGATGTTTATTTTAGACTTTGCTGAAAAATTCAAGTGAGTGCAGCAAAGAGTTCAAGACTCTGAGACAGAATTGAAGGAAAATAGGAAAATATGAGACTTCAAGACTCATAACAATTGCTTTGGAGATTGATCAAAATTTCCCGAGACTCATAATTTTCAAGATTAATCATTCTTTCATAGCAAAATTAGATGATCAATGAAGAGGCTTTTCAATTTGATAATCAAAAGAGTTTTATCGTTAATTGACACATTTGCTTCACGATTGAATTTCTAAATCTCCTTTAATTGGTGGAAGGATCTCATGCAACAACTTTCATTTCTTTCAACTCAATCTTGGACAGCTGCCTTAAACTTTGCCCCAGACGTAATTTTTAACATCCAGAGACAAGTAAAGAAGTATTCGTTAGAGACCCAGGATCAGTTACTCGAGTCGGTAGATATAAGGAATTTAAAACTACGTACATGCTCAACCCAACTGACTACCCCAAAGTTTTTTTATGGTTTTTTGATGACATTATGCCTGTAACTTATATTAATTAACTACAACAACAACAACAATGGTAGGATTGGAGCTGGGCTGAGGCTGTTTCTGCTTTTGTAGTTGTGTATTCCGTTGTCGTAGGGTGACTAATTCGGCTTTCAGGCGGGCCACCTCTGTCTCGCGTTCCAGAGCTTCATTCTCGGCTCCTACCCGGGCAATCTCAGCGGTTAGTGCAGCTACGTCTTCATTTGGGGCACTCGTATTGGTCTGAGTCCCCGAAAAGGGAGTACTGGAGGGCTGAACTTGGTTGGTAGAGGGCAAAACCGGAGCCGGCGGCGGGTGAGTGGTACTAAAACCTGTCCTGAAATTCATCTTGGTCATCATCAACATGTTGCCCCTCGTGCATTCCTGCGTAATCACGAGGAATACGATCTCGCAAGTTATAAGACATCGTAAAGGCTAAGACGGAAGGAAAGCTAAAACTAAAACTAAAACTACCCTCCCGCAGATGTCCTTTGTGGTTCGTTTGTCACGCATTCATTCTCCCTAAGCAATGCTGACAGTAGACGCAATACTAGAGTGTAATTTGAGCTAACAAACACGTGAGCGAAAGGGCGCCAATAGCGATCGGGAAATTAACTGTTTTGAAAGGCCTTCCGAAACAAAACTATTACCATTATTTTTGATTTTAATGTACAGGTGTTACCGATTAAAATAACAATAAACAGCTAAATTAAAGGAAATGAAGATGTAATGGACTGGTATCATTAATTATTATTATTATGTTTCTTTCGTCTTTCAAGTGCTTGAAAAACGGTTAACCTGTTAGCCAGTTAGCCTGCTGGTATGTGAATCAGCATTGTTGAAACGAAAACAGACTCTATTGTGTGTCCTGACGATTTCGACATTGGTTAGGGTTTTCGAGCTAGTTTTTCCCCATTTCATTTCACCCAACTTTTGCTTGCTAATTTTTATATTTTGTTATTAAAGAGAGGTAGATAATTTCCTCTTCGCTACTAAGCTACATGGGCAAACAGCCACTGGCAAATTACAGTCCCATGCCAAAGAGAAAACTCTACTGGTTGAGAAAAATTATTGTCATGTAAAACACCTGTAGAGTGCCACAGGATCCAAAAGATCTACAAGATCAACAGGATCTACTATGCTTCCTACAGGGCAATTCCATTTCATATAAGCTTACAACCCCCTCCCGCCTCCCATTAATGAAGTACGGGGAGGTGGGGGGTGGGGGATGGGTTGTATATTAAATGAAATAGCCCACAGGACATTCACACTCCTGTTGGACTCTAATGTTGCTAAATTTGGGGACACGCACAATTTCGGAACATACTTCCAGAGGAGACGATCAATAACTCACCAAGCCAAAAAAACTAACAAAGAGGCAAACTGTCCTCGCTGCCTGCACTGATGAAGCAGAATACCTTGCTGACCTTGTTGTTGCCCTTGGTGCATCCTCGATAGTAAAAGAGATGGCAGCTGAACCATCTGTATTTCTTGAAAGCTGCGCATCATTAGCTTTCGAATTTTCGATACACTCATCCAATTCATCATTTTTGTCGTCCCAAGTGTTAACCATCTCCGCCTTTATAATTTCGTCCGTAGCTTGGTCCGCAGCTAACGATCACAGAAAGATTCTCAGTTACCGGCAAGATGTGGCACGATAAAAAGCGTGCCCCTCGCGAGTACCCTAAGGCGTGGCATTGAACTGGGGGAAATTCGTCAAAGGAAAAAGGAGATAGGTCCTCTTCATATCTATACGTGAGTATTTCTCTAAATCAAATACTTTCTCATTTATTATGACCAGTACATTTCTAGCAGTTTGTAGTTTGACCTCTTCGTTTATTTCCGACGCTTTTTGTCTTGACAGGGAATCCAAAGGGTTTCAGCACACTCATGTGCCCAAGTTAAACCACAGGTTACCCAAGCTACTTGGAAGCCGTCACATTGCGTAACAATTTTTTCTGACAAATGTAAGAGTTTGTTTGGGAAATGTAACGATCGTACACAACAGTTCGAAATATGTAAAAGGAACTTAATGAAGAACGACTTACTTCGTCTATACTTATGTTTCCGTGGCGTTTTGGGCCGTTTCAGAGTGATTCTAGCGAGTTTCAGGTTCATATGGTTTTCAACAGTTCCCAATTTATACCCCAGAGTTTCCTCTCCAACTCATCGACTCTCCATATATTGCGGAATGATACTTCCCATGGGAGTGAGTAATAACTGAAACATGCTGTCAACGGATGTTACAAGATATCCCTTAGTATGCGGTTTAATATTGTGTTCATATTTATTTTAGAGGCCATACAATTTGCGTTTAATGTTAAATAATGATTTATCCTGTCCAGTTCATTCCCTGATCGAGGTATACTGAAGAAAACGCCTCAGAAACATTAAACAAAAAGGGTTACAACCACTATAAGTTTTCCTTTATTCTACTCAAAAATCTTTCGGGCTTCTATTTCTTATGCAAAACAAAACCAAAACAGCAAGGAAGCACACATAACACTCTCACTCCACGGTATAATCACAGCTGTCCTTGGCTGCCACTGGCCAGGGGCGGAACCACACCGTTTTACGGAAATCGGTCAGATTTTTCATAAAGAAAAAACATTCCAAGTTGCAAAGCTTCATCCAAGGTAAATGGAACTGGCTAATATCCTGTCTGATTGACTTGAACCCAGTATTTATCCCAGATATTGCCCCCTTGGACCTGTTGAGCCAGACACATCAAGTCTGTGGATGGATTTGTTTTCTTTAGTGACTTGCAATTGTTTGCCATTTTCATATTTGAGGTCGATTTTTCGGATATCTCATGACAAGTGCTGAAAATAGCATTTCGGAGCCTTCAAATATGAACATTTTCTGGGGGAGGATACCCCCACACTCCCCTACTAGGGTCGTGCCTTCGGCACTCGCGATAATGCCCCTTCCGTTACAAAAACCTAGCTACCGCTCTGTATAGCATAATCAACCTTTCCAACTACCCGGGCCTGTCTGTGAAACAGCACCAAAATCCTTGTTCTGGGCCCCCACATGTGTACCAGGTTTTTGAGTATGGCCATGATTTTCCTTTAAAAAAGCCATTGTCGATTAGCCAATCAGGACCAATAAGGTTAAAGGGAGATGCATTTCCAGTCATTCGTTGAGGCCATTGGGGGTCCAGAACGAGGATATATATCTGCACTGCCTATGTCAGCAACATAGGCAGCCAATTCCTAAGAATTCCCAGAAAGCTGAGGATCTTTTTCAAAAGGGTCATTATAAAGTAACAAACATTGGGTACTATTGACGAACCAATCCCATAAGGACTTTTGATGGGTCTGTGACCCACTAGAACCACTTTTTTGGTTCTATTTACTACGCAGGCAAAGGTAAAAAAGCAACAACATTTTACAACGACACTAAAGGAGTGTAAGAAACAACACGGCTCCTGACAATTTCCAATTATACAAACTTTTGACCAGGGTCTTCGCTTTCTGCCCAATCCCCCCGGTATGTAGAAAACGAGGACCCCCTCAAAATAACTTGGAAACGGCTGGAAACTGCTTTTAACGACTTCTAGACACTAAAGGAGTGCAAGAAACAACACGGCTCCTGGCAATTTCCAGTTACATAAAATTTTGACCAGGGTCTTCGATTTCTACACAATCCCCCCGGTATGTAGAAAACGAAGACCCCCCTCAAAATCAGTGGTAGTGTCGTGAAATGTCGGCTGTTTTCTCAGGATAACAAACCCGACTAATTTTGAAGGAATGCAAATCACGTGACAGTTTCAGTTTTTAAAAACTTAATGGCCTTTGGACATACCCATTACCAACAAACACATAACTAAGCTGTTTTATCAGTCAATTTTTATTTCACTATGATCTAGCTAATTGTTGTCGGTAAAGCGATAGGGTCTAAAACAGTTTTTGGGTTTCAGTCGCTTCCGCTAACTTCTGGTTACAATTTGTGACAAAAAAGGGCAGATGGAAAAATTCTGGTTTTGGTACGTTTTTTCTGTATTACACTCAAACCAACAAGCTGTTCTAAAGCTCTGAATTGTAATGATATATTTCATAAAATAGTAATATATAATATATTTCTTAAATGGTCATTTCTTTGTCATATTCATCGAGTGATTCGTCATTATTGTTTTACCCTGGGTACAAGAGGTATTTTTTTGTTTCGTAATTCTTAATAGTTCGCGGCGAGTTCTTATCAAACCGTGCGCACGGTTTTTGTTTTTATTATCCTGGGTATTTTGAGAACGAACGTGGAAGTCAGGGTATTATATATTGTTCTTGTTGAAACGTTGAAAATTAACATGCTGAAACGACATTAGTAAAATAAACAAAATTAAGAAATAAAAGCTTGACAAAAATTGTATTACTTATTTTCAAAAAAATAATTATATAAATTTGTTTCTTAAATGGCCATTTCTTTGTCACAATCATTGTTCTTGTCCAAGTGTTGAAGAACTTCATCTGGTTGACCATCCCTTAGCTCTTCCCTTTTGCTCTTGCTTGGCTGAAACAGCATTCCAGCAAAGCTTCCTTTTCTCTTAAAGTACCGAGCAGCTGCCAAGATTGACAAAAACACCACAATCATCAAGACACTGATTACTAAAGCACAGATCATTAACGAGCATGGTCCCACAGTGTCCCCTATTGTGCTACCCACAGATAGTGGAATCAACATTCCACCTGTGCTTGATGTGACTAGAAAAAGAGATGCTGTCCTTCCTGATACAGTCACAAAATTCTCTGCCCAGCTTATGCCAGCTGGGAAGACTGAAGATGTTGAAACGCCAAAAATAACTGTTCCAACCCACAATTTTGTTGAGTCTGCGGCACTGCAATCACCATCTTTGATCTGTGAAATTAGTACAGCCGATCCCAACAGACAGCCAACCAAATCTAAACACAGCATCTTGGATGGTGGAAGGTATTTTGAGATGGGTACTGCTGCAAGCCGTGCAAATGCAAAGCTTCCCCAGAAGCCAGAATTTAAAAGTGCTGCCCCATCCTTGCTCATCTTTAAACTACTTGTGCTACCAAATGCGAAAATATATCCTCCATAGGCTTCCTCTAAGCCCACGTAAATCAGAAAGAACACAGAGAAGAGTGACAAAAAGGTGACTCTATACATCAAGCTACCCTGTGTGGTTTTCGGGGCATCCTCATTGTTTGTTTTTGTGTCCTGTAAGCTGCACGATTTGTTGAAAACAAAGACTAAGAATCCAATACCAGTGATTGCAAGAGGAAAAGCACAGATCCAGAAGGCCCATGTAACAGCAAAAGTATTTCCACTGGAACTGCTAAAGCACAAGTTATTTGAACTGTCTCCTATGCTATTATTACTGGCACAATATTGACTGCTGTTGGTATTGGCACAGTTATTTGTAGGGACAATGTTGTCTTGAAGGAATGGTTTAGCTATGAGTGGAGCTATGAAACTACCAAGTGCAAACAAAAAGTGAAGAGCTTGCATGTACGGTGGTGATTTCTCTCCCCAGACATTTAGCAAAAGTACATTTCCACCTGCAATAAAAAAAAAAGAAAAATGATGTAATATATTGAGAACATAAATAGTACAGAACAAGCATGGAACCATTGTCGACAGCTATTTGTTTCCTGCTAGACAAAACACAAGCAGCTTTAAACCACATTTTTGGAACCATAGGCGTACGGGAAATTTTTTGCCGGGGGGGGGGGCGGTAAACCATTTGCCCAAAAAAATATCGCAGGTTGCCCAAATTTTTGCGAAAGAGTCGGAAAGAAAGGAGGGCCGTATTACAATAACATAGGCCGTACTGACATATGAAGGTGGCTTGATACAGTTAGTTTTCAAGGTCAATACCAAGTTTGAGTATGAACTACGTCGCCATAAACAAGCATTTGGAAAAATTGCCACCACAGTTGTATTAAGATGAAAATTTGTCATGATCAGGGTTGCAATGACATCGGAGTTGTCATAGCAACGAAATGACGCCATCATCTATTTTACTTCAGCAATAATTCTCGGCATTGGGAACCTTACAAAGTCGTTCACAGGAGCTTTTTTCTCCAATACGGCCGCCTCGATGTTCGTGAAGTTTAAGCAAAATCTGTAAGAGCGCTAGCGTTATCGAGATATTTTAGGGTGAAGTTTTTATCGTAAGAAATACGGTAAGAAAAGGAAAATCTTGATGTTTGGCCGTTATCTGTAGAAAACGAAGCGCTTTTGACATGCAATTTAACCTCATAGTGGTTTTAATCTATTTAAAAACGTGTGTGAAAGACCCTGGAGACAGCTCTGCACCGATTGCTAGAAAGAAGGATTTGATTAGTGTGTATCAAGGCGCTCTTGTTAGCGGTTTTGCAAACATTTCGGTCTACTTTAAGTACCAAATTAGCGAATAATTTTAAACCTAACGATAGATTCTTTAAAAGAATTCAGATTCTTCTCGTAATTCAAACTGGAAATTAGTCAGCCATTTCTTCTCTTTCAGACCCATTGCTAATGCAATCTGCCATACCCTGTTCTTCCAGTGGAGATGATTCTAGAGAGTTATGCGAAAGTTTATTCTAATCAATTCACAACTGGAAATAACCCATTCCAGCTAGTGCAGTGCAGTACAGTGCCCAACAATAAAAAAACTACAAATATATAAATTACTTATGATACTAGGTAACCACTGTCTCGTGTGAATGTAACTGGATCATTGCGCCAACTTCAGGTTAATATTCAGGTCTTCAAAATAATCAAATAACCATGGAGACGTGTTTAAAAACTGGCTTTGCCCAAATTTTCTCTTGTTGCCCAAAAAAACTGAGTTGCCCAAAATTTGGGGGGGCTGCAGCCCCCCTCGCCCCCCCGGCCCGTACGCCTATGTTTGGAACAGCATGCAAACACCTTGTGCAGACCCTAAACTATGATATACTGATATGCACTGTATATCTTATTACCAAATTTGGGATCTGGATCAACATTTGTCAAAGGTTGGAAAGCCCTGCACATACTCAGTGATACATAAGTCAGTTGTGCAAACATCTATTTTTAACTCTATAACCAACCTGAGCCACAAGCTACTGGGGAAAATTAAATTCTATGAAGTCACCACCTTTACCCTAAGGAGGGGAGGCAGAATGGCTAAATAGTCAGCGTGATGGACTCATAATCCAGTGGCCCAGGCAGACTCGCAATCTGGCGCTCCTGGATTTGAGTCCCCACTCTGGCCACTTGCTGGATTTGTTCTTGGTTGTCCTGAGTTCAAATTCTCAGCCACACTTGTAAATAACCAAATGGTTGCCTCCTGCCAGTTGGGGTTTTTAATCCTGGCTGTTATATGTTCTATTTGGATTATTGGTTTCTAATTATTTAAGTGGAGTGCCTGTAAACTGATGGTTAGCTAATTAGCTAACTGCACTTACCACTATAAACAAACCTTCAAGTTTTTTTAAGCAATGGTGAAGAAATATTATGTAGTTCTAGTTTTTCATTGCAGTCCTAAAGTGTAACAGGTTCAAATGAAAACTACTCAGAGATCATTACATCATGTACTACTTATCATATATACTGTACATTTCAATACTGGACCGAATCCCATGATGAAAGCTCTCAAATAAAAGCTACTGACCAGTACTTTACTGTACCCGGCACTGGTTGTTACACTATACAAGACGGTTTTTACTTATGAGTCTGTATACAAAAACCTAAAGTGTTTGTGACTTTTCAATTAAAAGCTCAATATTGACCAGTATTTTACTGTTAATAGAACTTTACAACATGCTCCACAAGTTGATTTTTGAGTCTGTGGATTAAAAATCCAATGGTGTCACCATTTAAATGAAAGCTATAAAAAAACTTAGATGTGCTAGCTTCTCTTGTCGTCTTCTTTGCCTAGAATTTTTCATTAGATTACCACACTGGGAGTGAACTACATGTATGGGGTTATTGTAAGTTTAAACAGACTCTTGAAACATATAACCTAATAAAATTGATGGTAATTAATACAGCAAATAAAGTCAGCTCAAGTTTTGCTTACATGTATCAATCGCTCCAAGGCCTATCCCTAAAAGTGCTGACACGATAAGTAAACCAACCAGAGATGTAGCATATGGCAAAACTATCATCATGACAGTGCTCCAAACACAGGAAAGTGCCAAGACTCCATGGCCATTATACTTATCATACAACCAGCCGCCAATAATGCTTCCCACAAGGTAACCGACTGAGCGTGACGTAAACACATATGACATATTCTCTAGTTTGGTACTTGTGTGGCAGGCCAATTCTATCAGGGTAGGTCCAAAGATGGCCGCACATTTTCCCTGTAAATGAATTAATTGAAACAATAAGATGTAGCAGGGGCGGATCCAGGATTTTTTTAGGAGGGGGTGCACTCGTCTCTTGCTCTACTTCAACACCAATAAACCACATAGTTTTTTGTTTTTTTGCAGAATACCAGTTGTATTAGAAAACCGCAGGTCATCTCAGGGGGGGGGGGGTGCGCACCCCCTGCACCCTCCCCCTAGATCCGCCCCTGTGTAGAGCTTTACAGGTCACCTTAAATAACCGCTGAAGATGTTATCAAACTTGAGAGATGTTAATAGACTTTGCTGAAAAATTCAAGTGAGTGCAGCAAAGAGTTCAATACTGCTGAGACAGAGTTGAAGGAAAAAGGAAAATATGTGACTGCAAGACTCATAACAAATGCTTTGGAAATTGGATTAAAATTTCCTGAGACTCATAATTTTCGAGGTTAACCATTCTTTCATGGCAAAATAAGATGTTCAATAAAGAGGCTTTTCAATTCAGTAATCAAAAGAATTTTATCGCTGTGATGAAGTTCTAAATCTCCTTTTGCGATAGATCTCATGCAATAATTTTCATTCTTTTCAACTCCATCTTGGGCAAACTACCTTAAACCTTGCATCAGACATAATTTTTAACATCCAGAGAGAAATAAAAAAAGTTGACAGGACTGTTATATATGATACATTGATCATTATAGACCCATGAGGAGCAGTTAGTCAGGTCGATAGATAAGGGTAAAAACTCACTACTCTCAACCCAACTGACTGTCCCAAAGTCTTTGATGGTTTTTTTTAATGACATATGTCTGTAACTGAATCATAATGGCTTGTGTGTTCTGATACCGACATTGGATAGGGTTTTGCAAACAAGTTTTTCCCCATCTTAATTATTGTAAACACCAACAACAAAGTATACCAAAATTTTATATTTTGTTGTTGAAGGGAGGCAGATAATTTCTTCTTCGCCACTAAGCTACATGGGCAAACAGCCACTGACAAATCAGAGTCCCCTCCAATTCTATGGAATTATTAGTTCCAACTAAAAGAAAATAATTGTACCCTACAAGCAGAGGTTTCTATCTGGCATGGCTTTAAGAATTTTTGAAGTTATTCCATGGCCTGTCTCGCGTAGTTGGTTTGTTTAAATGCTAAAAGACATGAAAAACTCTGCTGGTAGAGAAATTCTTGGGTAAAACACCTGTAGAGTGCCTCTAAAAGATCAACAAGATCTACTATTATTTCCTACAGTGCAGTTCCATTTCATATACAACCCCCTCTTGCCTCCATTAATGAAGTACTTTGAATTGTCCTCACCCCTTGGAAAAAAGCTCACTTTCCCCCAAAGGTGAAAAACGCTCAGGAAAATACACTGATGAACATACCTCTCCCAGGAGAGTGTGGGGGAGGTGGGAGTGGGGGATGGGTTGTATATTAAATGAAATACCGGTAGCCCACTGGACGTTCACACTCCTGTTGGCCTCTAGTGTTGCTAAATTTGGGGACACGCACAATTTGGGAACATACTTTCAGAGAAGACGATCAATAACTCACCAAGCCAAAAAAAGAAACAAATAAACAAACAGTCCTCGCTGCCCGCACTGATGAAGCAGAATACCTTGCTGACTTTGTTGTTGCCCTTGGCGCATCTTCGTTAGTAAAAGAGATGGCAGCTGAACCATTTCTTGAAAGCTGCGCATCATTAGCTTTCGAATTTTCGATACACTCATCCAATTCATCATTTTTGTCGTCCCAAGTGTTAACCATCTCCGCCTTAATAATAACGAGCAAAGAAAGATTCTGAGTTAATTTTCGGAGTTACCGACAAGACGTGGCACGATACAAAGTGCGCCCCTCGCGAGTACCCTAAGGCGTGGCCATGAAAAGGGGGAAATTCGTCAAAGGAAAAAGGAGATAGGTCCTCTTATATCTATACATAAGTATTTCTCTAAATTAAATACTTTCTCATGTCATAAAATCCTTTCGATTCTTACGTTTTAGGGACAAAATAGGAGCAATTTTTAGGATCTCTATCCTCCCCTCCCCTGTTTTCAGATAGATCATGACAACCTCGTTCCCAGGGTCTCTCTTCATCCTGACCTAAGGCCGATTTTGAAGTCTTTTTTATTTCACTTTTATTTTTATTATTCTTTAAATTGCGACTGGTGACCAGTACACGTCTAGTAGTTTGTAGTTTGACCTCTTCGTTTATTTCCGACGCTTTTCGTCTTGACAGGGAATCCAAAGCCAAAGGGTTTCAGCCCCGGGGGGGGGCACTTGGGTATTTTTTGGGTGGGTATGTGCCGCCTGGGACTCCAAATTGGCACCCCGTTCTGGAAAAAATTTCCCCTAAAATTGATACCCCGTTCTAGAAATGGGCCAATTTTTTATACCCTGTTCTAGAATTCGCCCTAAAACTAACACCCCGTTCTAAAAATGGGCCAATTTTTTATACTCCGTTCTAAGGTGCAACAAGAGTACAACGGTTTGCTTGTTAACGCATTGAACCGTATGTTTAAAAGCAATCTGTCCTTGAATAATTTCACATGTCTGCTTACAAAAGTGGAGCTTTCGTGCGTTCGAAATATTATACCCCGTTCTAAAAAACGCCTCTGAAATGGATACCCCGTTCTAAATCAGGAGCTTCAAAATCACCACCCCTTTGGGCGGCACATACCCGTATAGGTAATCTATGGGAGTACCCCCCCCGGGGTTTCAGCACACTCACGTGCCTAAGTTAAACCACAGGTTACCCAAGCTACTTGGAAGCGGTCACATTGCGTAACAATTTTTTCTGACAAATATAAGAGTTTGTTTGTGAAATGTAACGATCGTACACAACAGTTTGAAATATGTGAAAGGAATTTAATGAAGAACGACTTACTTCGTCTATACGTTCTTATATTCGTTTCCGTGGCGTTTTGGGCCGTTTCAGAGTGATTCTAGCGAGTTTCAGGTTCATATGGTTTTTCCCTCCTCTCCAACTCATCGACTCTCCATCCCGGGGGGGGCACTTGGGTATTTTTTGGGTGGGTATGTGCCGCCCGGGACTCCAAATTGGCACCCCTTTCTAGAAAAAATTTCCCCTAAAATTGATACCCCGTTCTAGAAATAGGCCAATTTTTTATACCCCGTTCTAGAATTCGCCCTAAAACTAACACCCCGTTCTAGAAATGGGCCAATTTTTTATACTCCGTTCTAGGGTGCAACAAGAGTACAACGGTTTGCTTCTTAACGCACTGAACCGTACTTTAAAAGCAATCTGTCCTTGAATGCTTTCAAATAGCTACTTACAAAAGTGGAGAGCTTTCGTGCGTTCGAAATATTATACCCCGTTCTAGAAACCGCGTCTGAAATGGATACCCCGTTCTAAACCAGGAGCTTCAAAATCACGACCCCTTTGGGTGGCACATACCCGTATAGGTAATGTATGGGAGTACCCCCCCCCCCTCCCCCGGCTCTCCATATACTGCGGAATCATACTTCCCATGGAAGTGAGTAATAACTGAAACATGCTGTCAATGGATGTTACAAGATATCCCTTAGTATGCGGTTTAATATTGTCTTCATATTTATTTTAGAGGCCATACAATTTGCGTTTAAGATTAAATACTGATTTATCCTGTCCAGTTCATTCCCTGAGGTATACTGAAGAAAACGCGTCAGAAACATTAAACAAAAAGGTTTACAACCACTATAAGTTTTCCTTTATGCTACTCAAGAGTCTTTTTTAGGAAAATGTGCATTTTTCGGGCTTCTGTTTCTTAAGCAAAACAAAACCAAAACACCAAGGAAGCACACATCACACTCTCACTCCACGGTATAATCACAGCTGTCCTTAGCTGCCACTGGCCAGGCGCGGCTCCACACCGGTTGCCACCGTTTTACGGAAATCGGTCAGATTTTTCGTAACGAAAAAACATTCCAAGTTGCAAAGCTTCATCCAAGGTAAATGGAACTGGCTAATATCCTGTCTGAATGACTCAGAAACCCAGTATTGGTTCTAGTTCAGCACCAGCCCCCTGGACCTGTTGAGCCAGACACATCAAGTCTTTGGATGGATTAGTTTTCTTTAGACTCAGTTATTTTGATTATAGGGAATTGCAATTGTTTGCCATTTTGATATTCGAGGTCGATTTTTCGGAGACACATCTCATGACAAGTGCTGAAAATAGCATAAATTGGAGCCTTCAAATCTGAAAATTTTCTGGGGGAGAATACCCCCACACACCCCTACAAGGCTCGTGCCTTCAGCACTCGCAATAATGCCCCTCCCATTACAAAAAACCTAGCTATCATTCTGTATATATATCTAAGCATAATCAACCTTTTAAACAACTGGGCCTGGTTAAGTCTGTCTGTGAAACAGCACCAAAATCCTTGTTCTGGGCCCCCACCTGTGTACCAGGTTTTTGAGTATGGCCATGATTTTCCTTTAAAAAAGCCATTGTCGATTAGCCAATCAGGTTGAAGGGAAGTGCATATTTTCCAGTAATTTATTGAGGCCACTGGGGGTTCAGAACAAGGATGTATATATCTGCACTGCTTTGCAGATTTACTTATGTTTGCAACATAGGCAACTAATTCCTAAGAATTCCCAGAAAGCTGAGGATCTTTTTCAAAAGGGTCATTTTTATTTATAAAAGTAAAAAACATTGGGTCCTATTAAAGAACCAATCCCATGGGGACTTTTGATGGGTCTGTGGCCCACTAGAAACCCTTTTTTGGTTCTATTTACTAAGCAGGCAAAGGTAAAAAAGCAACCATATTTTACATCAATAACATGTGACAGCAATAACCACAGGTAACCCAAGGTTGAAATACAAGCATTGGCATTGCTGCACAATCACAGGTAGCCCAAGCTCAAAATGTGAGCATTGGCATTGTTGCATAACATTCAAACCTATGAAAATGAAAGGATTTTAATTTAAAAAAAAACAGCTTTGCCTTACCTTACTTAAAATGTGTGTTACATCTCTCCTGTGTGGTCCATGGGTCGATTTATTGCCGTTTTATGGGTTGTAATATATAAAGGAACAGAAAACCGGTTACATTACAATCCATAAAACAGCCATAAATCAGCCCATGGACCACACAATTTTCGGATCACTAAACTTTCAGCTAGGAAATCCGAACAGATGAACAATTTTTAGGGGATAAAAATATGCCTATATCTACCCTTCAAATACTAAAATACGTTCAACAATGCTATGTTTAAGTGGTTTTGAACTATATTCTCGATCGGTGCCCCTTTTTAAGGCTGTTTAAAGGTAGTCAAAGTTACACAGACAGGAGAGAAGTTGAAACAAGGATGCAGTGTCACCAGGGATAAAACTCGGGACCTTGTGCACGAAGGCCATGCACTAACCAACTGTGTCATTCTTGCTCATGCAACAAACCCAAGGTTTGTCCACACATGTTTAAGGAGCAACCATTGGCATCAGAGCTTTGAATACATGTATGCATGTATTTTTGGGGTGGGTAGAAAATGAAGACCTAAGACTTAAGACCCAAAAACAAAGACCCCCCTCAAAATCACTTATACACTATAAATATCTAGAAACGGGTATCTCGACCCTAGATGTGTAAGAAACATCAATATCTTCAATTATACAAACTTTTGACCAGGGTCCTCGTTTTCTACGTAATCCCCCCAGTGTGTAGAAAACAAAGACCCCCCTCAAAATCACATTATGTAGAAAGCAAAGACCCTGGTCAAAATTTTGTATAATTGAGAATCGTCAGGAGTCATGTTGTTTCTTACACTCCTTTAGTGTCTAGAAGTCGTTAAAAGTAGTTTCCAGCTGTTTCCAAGTGATTTTGAGGGGGGTCTTCGTTGGTCAAAATTTTGTATAATTGAAGATTATTGTTGTTTCCTACACATCTAAGGTCGAGATACCCAATTCTAGATATTTATAAGTGATTTTGAGAGGGGTCTTTGTTTTTGGGTCCTAGGTCTTAGGTCTTCGCTTTCTACCCACCCCGTATTTTTGCCTTAATGCATTCCGGAACACATTGCATCAAATCATCTCTAGTTCTTTGAACTGATTGATCCTGTAAATTTTGAGTGATCTTGTCCTTTGAGTTACTGCCAACACCATCTCGTTGTCGGTCCAATGTTTTTTCTCCTCCACGGAATTAACTATTCTCATATTTTGATCTCAATTCCCGTAGCTCATCACGCAGGTTTTTTATTTCATTACAAAGTTCTTGAACAGATTTCGCCTGACCTTCCATTACATGAAATTTCCGCATTCGTTCATCTAAAGCTTTTCTTGCCCTACCATTGGTCTTTGTATACTGCTTAGACACCTTGTAGGAGATTTTTAACAAGGCTACATCTATTTGTTTTCGAATAATTTGATCATCGCTGAAAGCAAAGAATTCACCAAATATGCATTTTTCCACGAAATCTGTGTACGTGTACCTTTTGGTGCCAGACGAGGCAAATGTAGGTGACAAGTCGTTTCCTTCTGCTGAGGAAAAACGTGCCTCTCCACCATGTTCGGTCAAAGAATTCTCACCGGAAGTGGCAGTAGAACTCACGAACCCTTCTTGAAAAACTTGGTGCACCTCTTTGAAAAAGGGGTAAGGAATTTCTAAAGTGAACAGAATCCTCCTCTCTTTTCGCTTCGTTTCATAACCTTTTTCTGGTCCAGTGACAATGATTGCCTCCTTGAAACGAGCGCAACATTGACTAAAAGCGTCCGACATTTTTTTTTTGACTTTGCAGGGAGACTATATGTTGGCTTGACATGAAGGTGTCAAACCTCCCTCCTCCGGAGACTCAGAGCTAGAGCGCGCGAAAAATCCACGTTGTGAGAACCTTTTTAGTATATTCTCAATAATTAACAATGATCTGCGAGACACTGACATATCACGATATTTTGCGGTAACCGAGTTCAATAATGTTTTTATCATTCGATCACAATATCTTCAGGAAGCGAAGCGATCTGCCATTTTCACGCATGATCAGAGCGATCGGAATCGAAGAAGGAGAAAAGTGTGGTTTCATTTACGTGATTTACGCCTAAGCAGGATGTTATTTGCAGTCAAACACAGTTGGCCGACATTGCGCATGAGCAGACAATTATTTGTAAGCAGTTATTTGCAGGTCAAGTGGTCGGCTTTCGGCCAATGAAGAATATTTCTGATTAGTGTTTACCAAATCAATGAACAGCAATTTTCGCGCGTTTTGGTTGGCTCCCATAACTCGGAATATCCTTAGCTATTCACTGTTTTGCGACCGGAGCCAAGATGGCGTCTCGTTTCGAGACATTTATTTGAGCAAGAGCCATGGCTTTTGATTTGAGCGATAAATGAAGCAGTCGTACAAAAAAAATACCAAGAAAGCGACGAACTTTTTTCTTGTGGGTGTTGACTGGTAGGTAGAAAATTATTTTCTTGCTAAATTTGCAACAAAATCATAAAAAATGATCCCAGGAACACAGTCAATTGAAACGTAAACAAACTTTTAACTAACTGACGTCTTTTATTTACAAAAATTTTTATTTTTATTTTTATCCAACTGATTTGATAAATACTAAACCAACTATCCCCCTCAGGGTCGTTTCAGAGCGCTAGATATATACCTCGACGCTTCGCGTCTCGGTATCACCACCAGTATTCACCTTCCCTTCGGGGGATAATTGTATGATATTTCTCCGTTTCTGATTGGCTTAAATCCCGTTTCATCAGTCAACAGATATTGATAAAAACAAAGTAAAAGGAATACCTCCTGAACATGATGTAGGGCAGGCAGGAGGCTACTGGTGCGAGTGAAATCAAACATTCAAATGCGCCATGTTGAAAAAAGTTTAAACTAAGAGCACTGTAAGTTTAGCTCGACAATTTAACGCTGGAGTATATTTGAAAACTGAACAGTGTGTTTGGCTTAAAGTTACCTCTATCTTTCTTCCTTGGACGTCTTTAAAAAAAACAATGCCAATAGTAAAAAATCTTTTCTCGGTGAGTTTAATTATTAACATTTATATTGTCGAAGGACTCGATCTTCCGCTTTATTTGGCAAAGAGTCTCGAATCCCTGCCAGACTGAATTTCTTTTTCCGTACAGTAAGTTATGAACCGCAAGGTTAACCAATCGCAGAGCGAAAACAGACTTAGCCGGCTTATTATAATGGACTTTATGTAACTAAAGTTGCTACTTTCGGAATGTTTTTGGAGGGTTTTTGAAACTCATGTCTTTAAACTAATGTCCCTTTTACATTCTCCAAACCACTAAACTGAGGCAGGTAGACTTTCTCGATTTTTGAAAGACAGAAAAGGATATGTATAAGGGTAAACACAATGCTTTTTCTATAAGCTGTAATTTGTATGAGATAATGCCATTTTTCTAATCCTTTTAGTCCGTCAGCTGATTTTGATGTACTTTTGGGTAGTTCTCCCACCTGGTCAAATTTCATAGTTTTATTTTAACGCACAAGATTTCTACCCCGGTGGTTTGTGTAAATGGTAGGCACCCCTGTGCTGTAGTCGTTTGAAAACTAGATAATGTGTCTGGCTTAAAGTCACTTCCATTTACCTTTCGTTTAGTCTCCCCGCAGACGTCCTTTGGGGAGAAATGAATGCGTGACGAACAAACCCCAAAGGACGTCTGCGGGGAGGCTACCTTTCGTTGGTCGATCTGTCACGGGACGTATATCCCTGATTTATGAAAAATATCATTAGTTAATGGACGTTCCACATATCTTTCTAGTGGTCTATAAAATGAAATAGATCTTTCGCCTGATTTAGCTAAATGTATTCTTTATAGAATAATCAAGTTAAACATAAAACCAGTAAACAACATCTGATTTGGAATATAAAAAGGTGAAGCATGAAGAATGATACTTAATTTGATTGCTGACAATTGTTTTATTATTAATGACAATTATTAATACACTGACATATATTATATCGTTGTAGGAAGCTTTTTAGGTCCTAGAACATTTTATCTGTTTACTAAAAAGTATGAAGTACGATAAATAATCCATTTACCAATAAACTTTTTATATAAAAGAATCTGAAATATTAAAAGTGTGCTTTTCCTGCTTCACGCACAGATCAGATCATGTGCACCATTCCTTAGTTGGTTTCTAACCAAGGGCATCTCCCATTTGTACCCCAATGTACCCCCATTTATGATTTTAGGACTGTGCGTAAGTTAGGAATTTTCCCCTTTCGTGTCTTCGTAAATAAATAAAGTTTTTGAGAGTGGGACATCTTGTCTCCAAACTTAATGCATGTCCCCCGGAAAATCTAGTATACGGTTTATTATTTGGGCGTCGCTCAAATAGAGTAATCGAGTTCGCTTGTTTTGATTCAAAGTTGCAATAGGCACGCAATATGTGCGAACGTAAACAGGCAAAGTAAACAGTACAAGCCAAGCGACGCAAATGTCTGCCGTGCGTTGTGTCACAACACAACAGTTATCTTCGTTACATACGACCCAGAGATAACGCACGGCAAACAAATCGGCAAAAGAAAATGAACGTTTTGAAAAAACAAAGTACACTGAGTGAAACAAACGATTTAATAATGAAAAATTTTCCCTTGGAAAATAAATCGTCCTCGCCGCACACGGTGTGAATGGTTTGGCTTATTGCCAAGAGTTTGACAAGATTTTTGCTCTCAGTTGTCGAGCGCCAAAGAATATGTCACGCAAAATTCCGTGATCTCGTGCATAAAATAATTAAGGGTAACATTGAATGATACATAATTTCATTGCATATTTTCGGAAAGGAGGAGATTTCTTAAAATCTTATTGAGCAAAATGACCTCGTTAACAAGTTGCATTCTTTCACAGTCTAACCGTAAAAGGGACAGAGACCAACATCTTCACGTGGAAACCGTGTTCTATTTTTAAAACCCTTAGGTTAATTAGATTAAGGGCCTGTTTACATGGAGTTGGGGAACCCCTCGTAGGTGAGGTAACCCGCTTAAGAGGGGTTAAATATTAACCCTCCTTTACATGCAATCTTACAACCCCGCCATCCCGAGGAGCACTTTCTCAAGATTATTGAATGGTCGCTTAGCACGTAAACAAGAAAAATGCTGGCAAACCACTTATTTTGGCGATTAATGCTCTTCTACACTCAAGTTGCTGCTCTTGCTGCAACCTTCAGTGCTGTTGCTTTCTATTGTTACCTTTAATAATGATGCAAAACTACCACCAAAGTGAATTTTACACGAATTTAGTATATCACGAATCAGACCGCGGCTAGGCGGGTTACCCGACTTTGAACGTTTACATGGCAAAATTTGACACCGACTGAGAGGGTTACCCAGTCTGGCAGACCGGGCTACCCGCCTTGGCGGGTCACTCCACCTATCATGTAAACATAGTCAAATTAAAACGAGAGATTATATGGACAGGCGGGTTACCCCACCTATCAGAGGGTTACCTCACCTACCTGGGGTTCCCCACCTCCATGTAAACAGGCCTTAAGTCGTATTCTCTCACACACGAACCTCGAAAGCGGCAAATTCTAAAGCTTTCACGTGCAAACTGCATGACAATACAACTCACAGTTAAGGGCCTGATCACATGACCTGGGAAAGCAATGCGCATGAACAGTGTGTTACCCGCTGTCCTGTTTCTTGCTTGGTTCATTAGCCGGGCCGCCAGCCAAGCGTGATTACTTGGAAAATTTCTACCCGGGATCTTGGGAAGGGTTGCAAACCTTACTGTTAGGAATTTTCACCACCAAAATGTTACATAAACAGTGTAAATCGTAAATTCGCTTTGCATGATTAGAAATTTTATTTATCCTATTAGCTATTTAACTATTAACAAGTCACGTGACCCTTTTCCCTTTATTTACCGATTCCTGTATAACGTAAACACACATAGAAGGCGAATTTTCAGAACATTTTTATAGCCTCTGAAATGTACCTAAGAGCACTTGTTGCTCTTTCATTATCCTTTCGTCCTTTTAGAGTAAATATTTTGATCGTTAATTCTCAATTATAAGTCATGTAACAAAAATTTGAGCTTCTAAAATGTCTCAAATTGCTATGGCCGTTAAGCTACATCAGTGGTCCAATTTTCAGGATCATTGATGGAAGCAAATCGTTCTAAATAGCATTTTATCAAAATATGCATATGTAATTAGATAGTCATGCCTTGAATGGCCTGAGCATAAAAAAAACCTCACACACGCGCAGTACATCGACGCCTAAATATACGCTCCCACATCGTCTTGTTTAGCTTGTTTTCTGAATTTGGAAGTTTCCTGTACGTGGCACTCAGGCAGAAATTTTCGAGCTATCACGGGCGACTGCAAATTAGCCGCCCCTATCAATTTTATCAGGGGTCATCTTGGCCGGGAAACTGGACTTCTTTTGACTCGATTTCGTTTCCGTAAGTGCGCACAAGACATCGTCTGTCCCCCATCTTGTTTATCATCGGGTTGGGGAGAGCTGGTATCGAGAATTGAGTCCAATATGCCATTCTGCGCGTGCGTATATCCCTAGTGAAGTGGCAATTTTACTCCAGAACTGAAGAAAAGCTTTTCAAAGAAATTTTAGGTTACAATTAAATTATATGATCATAACAAGTAGTTAATAGGCCTTTTTCAAAAACAGCCATAATACTGTTTGTTGTCGCTCCAAAATTTTGCAGAAGCATTGTGTTTCATTTCTCTTCACTGGGGCGATTGTAAGTCCCAAGAGAAATTGAACGCAATGCTTAAGGAGTATATTATGGCTATTTTT